GTCCACTGTTCCTCCCCCGCTAGAGTCCTCTGGGTTTTTGGCTCAATATGTGGGGAGGTTCATTTTTTTATCCAGTAAGCCTGGCTCCAGGGAGGAGACCAGTTTAAAGTCCTGCTTCAAGTTCCGGTTCCACGTCCTGTCTCGGCTACCCTCTTCCACTGAGCCTGCCTGTCTGCACCTGATCCTGTCTGCTCCTGTGCGTGACCACCTGGTCATGCTTCTGGTCCCAGTCAGACTCTGAACCCTCCTGGGAGCCTGTTAAAGCCTGGAAGCCTGGATCCTGCTACCTTTTCTGTTCCTGCCTGATCTGGATCCTGTCTGTTCTGGATCCCTGACCAGGATCGGCTTCCAGCTTGACCTCTGGAACTGCAGCACTGGGACATTCTTGGTCTGGACTGCTAAACCAGGTAAGTGACTCACTGAGAACATCATCTTCAGTCAGATGATCGTGGTCACTTACCTGTGTTTCTCCCCTAGAGTGTCCGAGATTGGGCGGTAACCCGCCCCCACCGCCTGCAGTGTCCGCGAGCCACAGCTCCGCTTTTGTTATGTTTTATTTAATAAACGTTTTGAACTTTCCTACTGACTGTCTCTCCTTGAATACTGGGTCCATCTGTCAGCTTTTCCCCAACTCAGACACCAATAGCAACCCTTTTTCAACAAACATTCCTCTAATCTATCTCAGGTTATAGGAATCCTGAGTAATTTGGGTGCTCTCTGTTCCATCTCCTCTGAAATGCAGCTGATTATGTAAATCAATGTAGCCTAATGGTGTCAGGGGGACTTGCGAAGAAAAGGAACAAGGTATAAAATAATATATTTTTCTCTCAGTGGAATAGTTTATTTTCTTTGTTAATATTAGAGCATTTAGTTTCCACTTCATTATGTCTTGCTAATGAAAATCCAAGGTTTGCCCTTTCCTTTGTGGAGACATGACCTAGAAACATTAGGCATGCTACTGGCTGGCTACTTGTACACATGATGAGACATTGCAGATGGTGCAAGAACTAAGTGATTACAGTAGTGTTTGTAGTTATGTAGCGTTATGTTAAAACTAAGGCTGAAATAAATAATCAGATTAATCAATTATTGAAAGTATCATCAACTAATTTAGGAATTGATTGTTAGCTTTTGTATACCCTAACACATGCCATTAGCTTAAAGAGAAGCCCACGCAAAGCAAATGTCAAAATCTAGAAATTATCAAAACATTTTTCAATTTTAGAGAGAAAAACATGTGTTCTATCCAGAACTCTTCAAGTGGCTCAGTTTTAGTGTCAACCAGTCTAAATTTAGTATAAAATCAAAATTTTAGCATCTCATTATTTATTAATTTAAAAAAAAATCAAGAATCTATTTGCAAAATGATTTGACTAGTTAAACCACCTCCAACCAAAAGCAGGACAATATAACCAACTGGTTTTAGTCCCACCAGTCTTTAACAAGAAGGAGAAAAAAGACTTGTGTATAGCCACTTAGCAGCAGCAAAGCAAATACTTTGGTTAGCAGGATATGTGTTGGGTTAAGGTTTGCTCACTGCTGCATGTTAAACTATTAAAAACCCTAGAAAATAATAAATAACATCATGCTTTACTGAAGGCACTGTCATGATCTGGGCCCGCCGTGGTCTCTGAATAAAAGTACTAAAGCTGCATATTTGACCTTGCCTTTGTGACAAGTCCATCTCACAACTGCTTAAAAAAATAAAAGAAAGCTTTAGAGTGGCCCACTTAAAGACCTAATCTGTAAATAACAGTGGTCAACAAACAGGCATCTAAATGCTTTCCAGCTTTACTATATTTTAAAGCATTCCTGAAACATCGTTCAACTTTTTACTGTAAAACTAAATGAAACTTCACTGTTTTGATTGCATGTAATATCTCTGCTTCGGGGTTATTCACATTTATCTGCTGCTATTTTAAAGAAAACTTTGAATGCATTAAGCCTGAAAACTTGGACATTCAGAGACTCTTGACCGGACACTTAAAACACATTTTTCCCTTTTGTTTTCTATTTTTGCATGAGCTTAATTTCAGTAGTGTCTGTGTAGCTATAAGATACAGTAAAACTGTGTGATTATTAGCTAATAAAGATACAAATGTATTTTAACCTGTGGTCTGTTTTGTTTTACACAGTGAATGATTTATCCCTCCGCCTGGATTCACTCTTCTTTCAGTAACCTCCAAATGAAGAGACTAGTTCACTTCACTTACTGAATTGATGAAGACAACTAGATTTTAAACAGCCGGTCTTTATGTAAAAAACTAAAAACCCTGCTGAGTAAGCAAATTGCAGTTATAATCATTTAACTAATAATCAATGATTAGTTTTACCCTCAGTTACAATTAACTATTCATTAGCTAAAACCTTGAGCTCCAGTTATTTAATATATTTATAATCTTCTGGTGAAATTACACATTATTATCATCAGGTACAAATACTAAATGAAAAATTGATGAATATCAGCTTAAAGAAAATGCCTTCAGAAAGGTTAGAGAAATGTTCCCAAAGCAAAAAAAAAAAAAAAAAATCTGGTTTCCTAAATGTAAATAAAAATCAATGATAAAATGTTTAGTAGTGCTGTTACAGTTTTGCACAGCTCAGTAATCAATTCAGTTTAAAGTCACATGCAGGATAAGGATCAAAGCTTTCTTCAAGACTTGTACATGTTAAATTAAATAATCTAATACTATATATAATATTCACAGATTACAGGTGTCTGCAGCGAGTCGACGTGGGCTCCAGTCCTCCTCCTGCGAGCGTTTAACAGCTTGTGCAAGCTTCATTTTTATCCCTATCTGCACATTCTCTCTAAGCTGCTGTATAATTAACTGCTACTTGCAAAGCTCTTGTAAGTTTTCCACCAGGAACAGCAGAAATTAAGATAGAGAAACGTACATCTATAATTTTTTTCTTAGCGGTACAGAGACATAAAGACTATATAATTGGCCATGGTTAGTTGTTTTTAACAATTTCAGCAAAGATGAAGCAGAAATGTTTGGTCCTCTTTTATTTACTAAACTAGACATCTTTCTATTCGTCACCTTCAATAACTAACCTCGTCTCAACAATTCATGAAAGTTTTAAGGTAATAACAATGAGAAGTTTAACATCTGAAATTTTGGATTACAAGCAGAGAGACAAAAATGCACAGGACCCAAACTATCTGCATCAAAATATGGCTTACCTCTCTTTGCTTATCCCGCAAACTATTCTGTTTGATTTAATACAATGTATTGAATTATTGTAGTATTGGCACTCCCTAATAATTTGCATATTTTCTTAACCCTTTATCTTAATGTGATGGACCATGTAAAGTGCATAATGTAAAATGTGTGATGTAAAATAGAGTGGATGGAGAGCATCTTTGAAAATCAATGTATCAAACCTTGCCACTAATTCCTTGTCAGATATAGCCATTAATAAATTATTTTACAGCTTCTGTTGTATGTTAAGGATCATTACCCTGTTGGAAGACGAATTTCACTTACCATATTTTTCACGCTATAGAGCGCACCTTACTATAAGCCACACAGACTAAGTTTAAAGGTATACTATGCAACCGGGGTTGATTTTCCAGCGAGGCTCCCCCCAGAGGGTGAAAGTAAAAGTGCACTGTCGTAAATATGCTCAGCTGGTTTCCTGGTTTCTCCGTCAAACTAGGCACGGTTGTTTTGAGCTTAGCAGACAGGCAAACGCAACGAATCACCATGTCTACTGCGGTATGTGACTATTTTGTTCCAATTTTCGAGTTTGAAAATTTAGCATGTTTTCATACATTATTTGTTATGTATGTGTCTAAATAACAAAGATTGTAGTTAGCCAAGTTGGAGTTTCCCATACATTTATCTGACTGTCGTTGGGGGAAGGGGGTTCTGATTTCTGTGGTTTTGTACCTCGAGCACTGAATTAGTACATTCCTCTTTCTTGCCTGCTCCGACATGGGCTTTCGCTGTTTCCTCGCTGGGTCCGCAATGATAACTGCACAAATATCGCCACTGTGCTAGCAACAAGGATGCTTTTAACTGGGGGCGTGTAGCAGTTCTCGCCGTAAAGCAAGACTGACTCTCGCGAGACTTCTGAGCCTGTGGGTGCGGGTCGGTGCTCCTGCAATTGCAAGTGTGGTATTTCCCCCACAGACCACCAGGGCGGCCGAGAAAACCTTTGTTCGACCTGAAATGACTCCTTTAATCATCCAAAACGTTATGGAACACATTAATTAACTGAAAAATGTTGCATAGTATGCCTTTAAATAAATAAAAAAACTGCTACAGTATAAGGTGCACTGGGCTATAAGCTGCTGGTATCTACTGAAATGTTCACCACCAAACCTGCAGGGGGAGCTCTACATAACACCACCAGATTAGGGACAAATAAGAATTCTAGCTCCTGTTAGCTTGAAAATTAGCCCATTCTTCTTGATTTCCAACATTGACTTCCACCCCTCGCAGTATGGAAAATAGCAACTGAAAAGCCTCCCCCTTCGTATAAGTCGCAGGGTTCAAAGCATGGGAAAATTGTAGCGGCTTATAGTCCAGAAAATACGGTAGTTTGAAAGTCTTATGAAGCCCATAGCAGAACCTTCTGTTCTATCTCATTTATTCCAACAACTCTGACCAGTTTCTCTATCTGCTACTAGTAAGCGTCCCCACAGCATAACACTGCCACCAACTAGTTTCACGATTTTATGGTATTTTCCGGTTATAGATCTCTAAACATAATTTCTAATAATATTTCACTTAGGTCTCATCTGACCATGGCATATTCATCCATACTTTTACTAACATGCACTGTTGGGATTATCTGTCAAACATTCCATGAATTAAAATGTTAAAAATGTAAATAGTCTAATTCAATATAGTGTAATCGCAGTAATACAGTCACAGACGGAGTCAAGAGAAAAGTGTTTAAATTACTTACAATGGCCAGCCCTCTCCGGTGGAGACGGTAAAGAGCGTGAGGAAAGCCCAGAGAACATTATCATAATGAAACTCATACTTCTTCCACTCTCTGGGCTGAGCAGTCACTTCTTTATGATCATATTCCAAAAACTGACCCCTGAAATGAAAGTGAGGAAAAACAAGAGTAAAAACTAAAAATTTTTATCAACAGGTTACTACATTGGAATGTGTTGCTGTTAGACTCGCTAAACTTTTGTTTTTCCTGTTAATACTGATGTACCTGCAGTCTTTCTCTAGACCCTTGGACTCATCGGTGCAGTAGAAGAATTTGCCTTTGAAGAGCTGCACAGCGATAACAGCAAAGATGAACATGAAGAGGATGTAGACGATGAGGATGTTAAGAACGTTCTTCAGGGAGTTCACAACACAGTCGAATACAGCCTGTAAAATAAAACCAAACGTACATGTCAGGTATAGGTGTCTATCTGTAGGTTACAGTTACGCCTGCTGACAGGGGGGGACAACCAGTTCAGTGGTCCCAGGCCCAGGGTAAAGGTATATTAATGAACTTAAAACATGAGTGTTTCCTAACTTTACCTGTAGGGCAGGTTTTTAGGCCAAACTGGTAAAATCAGTCATTACAGAGTTTCTTTGCAGCTTGACATGTTTCACGGATTACAAAATGGCACAAATAGTGTGTTGCTTGTTTTTGCATCACATGAATCTGATTGGTTCCAACCTGATAATGCTGGCAATGTTAATCCTGCCTTTGACCCTGTGAATTCTGCCTTTACCAGCCAGTGTGGCTAACCAGGCTGGTCCGTAATATATTTTGGAGCTAAGCCATTCAATGGTTTTTAAACTAACAGAAGTATTTAAAAGCCTTTTCCCTGAGGTTTGGGGAACCATTTTAACAATTTTCATACTGGGCTCTTATGCTCCGTTTTGGTAGTTTTAGTGAGGACGCAGGCAGCAGCATTCTGGATCAACTGCAACTGTCTGATCAACATTAAGGCAGACCTGTGAAGACACATTTGCAGTAATCAAATCTACTAACAGAGAACACATTAATTCGTTTTTTAACGTCCTCGTAAGACATGCATGTATACAGATGTCATTGAGTCAAGACTGTACACTAGTGAGCACAGAAGCCTGACTGTTAAGAAGATTTTCAGCTGTTCAAACACAGCAAACATCGTATTGATGAAGAGGTTTGAGATGGGTCTGTAGTTCTGCAGGAGCAGCTTGAGCAGGTCACTTTTTTTCAACAGTGGTTTCATAAGGGAATCATAGCAGATGGATGCATGGATGGACGGACAGACAGATTGAAAGTGAAATGCCAAAACTCAAAATGAATTAGAATAAAAACCATGATAAAATAAAATGTATTATAAAGTATTAAAATTTAACAAATAGAAGTAGTTAAAAAGGAATAACTACGATTGATAACTAAGATTGATTTAGAGAAACTTTACAGCATCTATATTTTAATTATTTTTCATGCAGTCAACATGAATTTTAGATCTCTAAACAGAGTGAAATCTATTTGTAACAACATATTAAACAATCTACAGATATCACTTGAGTACATAATGGTTACAAGAGAGAAGGGTTGTATTTCTGTGAATCCCTACGTATCTCCTTCATCCGTCTTTCTCTTGGTTTTACCATCATGTGTTTGTTCAGGACGAAGTGGTTTGTTGATCTATTCTGACATGCAATCTAACCAATGAACATGGTGCTGCATGAGTGATCCCCATCAAAAGGTTGTTGTATTCTGCAAAGCATATTTTTCTTTTCGTCCAGCAGCAGAGATGTTGAACCGCTCTGTCCAAATATCCACAAAGAGCCAGGGACAAGCAGCTGTCTGCCAAGCATGATCTATCTCAATCATTTCCACTTTCATAAGCCCAGAAAGATTCCTGATCTTTTGTCAGAGGGATTACTCTGGAAGATAAACTCCCAATATTTAGGAAACAGAAGCTGTCATTTTTCCATCAGAAGAAAAATAAATCATGCTTGGAGTTTTTTTTGCTACCGTTGCTGCTGCTGCTTTTCCGTTTTTGTTGCTTTTGATTGTGATACTCTGTCGTAATTCATATCGAATTTAATCAATTTTTTAGGAATCTATTAACTTATTAAACCTTTTAGGAATAACATCAAGTAGCCCATTTGCAATATTTATGCAACTAATTCACCTTTAAAAAAATAACTTTTGTAGTTCTGTGCGTCAAAGCAGCTTTTGAAAGGTTAGTTTCATTAAAATTGTGGTGAGAAAGTGTTCCGACAGATTAAACACATTAAAACACAAACATTCACATCAACTTCAGCATTTAGTTAAATTATTAGGTTTATAGAAATCTTGCAAAATCATTTTTCAGCATTTGGCAGTTTTGGTAAACAAAGTATAAGCAGCTAATTCAGACTAAAGCTAACAGAGTTTCACCTTTGATTTAGATAATTATAAAAACATGAAAAATAGCTGATAACAATGCATTTAATAGATTTATGTAAAATCCAGTTTTCTGCTCTTTTCGCAAAAAGAAGACCTGGTAGATTTACATTTCAGGAGAGGGACCCACATCCTGTTCTTCTAGCAAAAAGAGACCTCACCAAAAAAAACTATACCTTCAGAAATGGACAATAATTAAGATTGTTTGCCCTTTTTAACAATGGAAACATGAAGTATTCCTGTTTACATTTTTTTTTTGGTTTACCCTCAAAAGATAAATAGAAAACAATAATAATTAATTTTTTTCCCATGCAAAAATTTTTATTCTATAATGCCTCTGTCCATAAGTTTGAACAAGATATTTGAATTTCTCATTGGCTATGTAGTTGAAATGATAACATTCTACACTTCAGGGAACCTCTTTTTTTCATCTTTATATAAGGTTAAAATATGTGACTCATGATATAACATGAGATTGTAAACCTATCCAGAAACCAAAATACAATTTTTATTTTTTTTCTGTAAATATTAGACCTTCTAGAACATTCATTCATAGTGATTGGCAGATTGAATTACCGTACCTTCAGCTTAGGCAGCCGTTTGATGGTCTTCAACGGCCGCAGGACTCGTAGGACCCTGAGGGATTTGATGGTGTTGATGTCCTTTCCCTTCGTTCCCCTGTGCACATTGAAAATGCAGTTAGTCTGGCAAAAGCGCTGAGATCGATTGTCTTTTAAACACCGTGCCAAAGATTCGAATGTAGTCCAACAGGTATGCTGATTATACCTGTTTGCATTCGCTTATTGGAGCACATGCATGTGAGTGAATCCTCTAATAATGAGGAAACATGCAAGAAAATGTGTTTTTCTCTTTAATTTCCTATGCTACTCTGCACACTTCCTGCCTCCTTTCCTTTTCACTTCCCTTTATTTATTCTTTTTACTTGGTCTTTTGTTTCTCCGTGTCCATCTGTATACTGTCCTGTATTTTCTTCTCCTTCTTTCTCTTTTACCTTAATATTTGAGATAAGCAATCTCTTTACTATTGTTATCTGGATTTTTGTTGATGGATAAATGTTGCTTTGGTCAAACAGCCTCAGTTGACATTAAACAACATGGCAGTTTCTTTTTTTACTATATAATAAAAGAAGT